AATTAATCTTTGGCAAAGTAGGGAAGAATAACCAATGGGGAAAAGACTGCCTTCAAAAAAAAAAAGACATCAGTTTCTTCAACAAATGGTATTGGGAAAACTGGGCAGCAACGTGCAGAAGAATGAAATTAGACCACTTTCTTACACCATACACAAAAATAAATTCAAAATGGATTAAAGACCTAAATGTGAGATCTGAAACCATAAAAATCCTAGAGGAGAACACAGGCAGTAACTTCTTTGACATCGGCTGTAGTAACTTCTTTCTAGATATGTCTCCTTAGCCAAGGGAAACAAAAGCAAACCTAAACTGTTCGGACTTCATCAAAATAAAAAGCTTCTAGGGACACCTGGATGGCTCAGTCAGTTAAGCATCTGCCTTTGGCTCAGGTCATGATCCCAGGGTCCTGAGATCGAGTTTCACATCAGGCTCCTTGCTCAGCGGGGAGCCTTCTTCTCCCTCTATCTGCAGCTCCCCCTGCTTATGTGCTCTCTCTCTCCCTCTTTTTTTTTTTTTAAGATTTTATTTATTTATTTGAGAGAGAGAGAATGAGAGAGAGCGAGTACATGAGACGGGGGAGGGTCAGAGGGAGAAGCAGACTCCCTGCCGAGCAGGGAGCCCGATGCAGGACTCAATCCAGGGACTCCAGGATCATGACCTGAGCCGAAGGCAGTCGCTTAACCAACTGAGCCACCCAGGCGCCCTCTCTCTCCCTCTTTGACAAATAAATAAAATCTTTAAAAAAACAAAATAAAAAGCTTCTGCCAGCAAAGGAAACAACAAAACTAAATGGTAACCTATGGAATGTGAAATTGCAATTTTCAATGCTATCTGTAAATTGAACTTGTTCTTTTTTTCCTAGCTATTTAGTTTGATTAGTGTAATTGCTATTTCTTATGTTAAAAACAAACACAATCACACAAATGTATTACTTATATGGTTTGGCAAATTTATGACTTTTTTTCTTGAATCAGTTATGTCACTACTTTTTAAATATACTTTCATGTTTCTGTAGTTTGGGATCATATTTACATTGTAAAGGGGATATAACTTAGAAATCTCCTTTCTGATCACATTTTCTAATTGAGTATAGCTTTTAATCCATAGGATAGGTAAAGTTAATCTCTTTCCATTTCTTTCTCTCATGTAACATTTTTTAAATAACTTTTTTAAACTATTTTTTAAAGTAGACTCTACCCCCAACATGGGGCTCAAACTCACAACCCCAAGATCAAGAGTCACATGCTCTACCAACTGAGCCAGTCAGGTGCTTCTCATATTTTGCAGAGAGAATAGAATCAGTTTCTCCCTCTTTAACTATCTGATTAAAATTTGCCCCCGACCCATGAATGTTAGGGTGATTCTTAGGGGCATATTGTGACAGGTTTTTCATTGTTGACTACCATTATCTTCAGGGAATGACAATTCTTCCATTTGTAGAAACACAATTTGAAATGGTGTGGAAGTGGAAGATGAGTTTGTGAAAAGACTGATGGTTATGTGAGAAATGACTGTTACAGAGATTTTGTGAATGCATTTTCCTGGCAATGTGCTATTAAGAGAGCGGGGAAAGAAACAAAATGGCCATGTAAAGGTCGAATGCCAGAGAAGTCTTTAATAGAAATGTTTGCAACTGTTGTATTAAGTTTTGGGTCAGTTGTTTTTATAGAATCATTCTATTTCCTTATGGAAATGTTGAAAATTAATTACATGATGTTTTGGTATGGCAAAAGGAAGACTTTTCTTTTTCTGTTTTAACATTCTTGATTTTCAAACCCTTAATCTTGGACAAAAAGCTGAGAGAAATTACATGTCACAGTTACATTGAATGCAGTTTGAATTCAATGGATATGTGTTTGATAATGAGGTAATACTGTCTTCATAAGGAGAAATACAGCTTAATGATTTAGGTAATGAATAATAATATTCATAATATAAATAATATTGATTTTGGAACCAGGATAAACGATCAGCCTTTGATCAGTCTGCCTTTGATATCTTCCCCAAAAATAGTTTTAAAAAATATGACTACAGAGATTTTTAGAAAATGTTTAATAAAATCTCATAACCAGATCAACCACTGTGAGTTAAACCATTTTGATCTTTGGGAAAATAGTTTACTTAACTTAGTGTTTAACTATTACTCTTTAAAACCATTTCTTTCTTTTTTTAAGATTTTATTTATTTATTTGAGAGAGAGTGAGCACAGGGAGGGGGTTGGTCAGAGGGAGAAGCAGACTCCCCACTGAGCAGGGAGCCTGATGTGGGACTCGATCCTGGGACTCCAGGATCATGACCTGAGCTGAAGGCAGTCACTTAACCAACGGAGCCACCCAGGCGCCCCTAAAACCATTTCTTTAAAAAGTAAATAAGAATGCATCAGATTAAGTATTAAATGTTGGACAAGTGATATTCTGTTTTATAAATTATTTATAGTGGACAGATATTGAAAAAAACAAATGGACATTATAAGAAAGATTTCATGGTAGCTAAAAAAAAAAACCCTTTGGACAAGAAAAGAGTCATTCTTTTTTGTAATGTATTGCCTACTTTTATAGGACTGACTGCTGATGCTAGAGTAGTAATAAACAGATCCCGTGTGGAGTGCCAGAGTTATAAGCTCACAGTTGAGGACCCAGTCACTGTAGAATATATAACTCGCTTCATAGCAACCTTAAAGCAGGTAAGACACTATTCCAACAGATTTTGGAAGGTTTTCTTCTTTTGCCATCATTATGGTTCCTACCATGGGAATACTACAATAACTCCAGTCATTTAATCTGTTAAGTCTACTAAACTCCTTATTCCTTCTCACGCTTACTTCATACACTCTTACTCCAGTGGACTACATTGATTTGAGCATTAGAAATCTCAATTACTATCAGTTCTAGGAATTATATTAATATTTCAAAGGCACGGGTGTCTGGGTGGCTCAGTTGGTTAAGCAACTGCCTTCAGCTCAGGTCATGATCCTGGAGTCCTAGGATCGAGTCCCACATCGGGCTCCCTGCTCAGTGGGGAGTCTGCTTCTCCTTCTGACCCTCTCCCCTCTCATGTTCTCTCTCTCTCTCTCAAAATAAATAAATAAAATCTTTAAAATTTCAAAAGCAGTAAATCTCATATTTTAAGAGGATTTCTATACCTCTAGAGATACAGTAATGAAAACTTTTTTTTTTACACGTTTACTAAAGAAATACCCATGGTTCTTTCACCTACAAACCTAAACACAACTGATCAGGTTTGGATATGACATGTTTTGTTTTTTAAGATTGATTGATTGATTATTTTAGAGGGAGACAGAGAGTGCAATGGGGAGGGACAGAAGGAGAGGGAGAGAGAGAATCTTAACTAGGCTCCACGCTCAGCACAGCCCAACACAGGGCTCAATCTCATAACCCGGAGATCATGACCTGAGCTGAAATCAAGAGTCTGATGTTCCACCTACTGAGCCACCCGGGCACCTCTGGATATGATTTCTGAATTCATACATATATAGATGTTTGACATTAAGTATAGTCACTATGTATATAAGTATTTGTTCTCTATCATTTTATGTGTCCTTTATGTATGTCAGCATAATCCTTATGCATACTTACCATTCTTACTAACCATATAATACTGTTTCCAGTTGCTTACTGGTAATTATTTAGATTGTTTCCAGTTTCTTTCCCTTTCTCATTGTCTTTCTCGGTTTAGTACTTTAATAACATTACTCTGTCTGTCACAGCCTTTATTTTTCTTTTTTGAATTATATTGTTAAATTAATTTTCAGTATGAGATTACTAGATTAGAGATTGTAATTGGTTTTAAGACTCTTGTTATATGTAGCTAAATTACTTGCTAAAAAGATTGAACCAATTTTTATTGTGCAGCCAGCAATGCATAAATGTATCCCTGAAGGATCATCAGCCTTGGGTTTTCATTTTTCTTTTATTTCGCAAATAAGTATAACATAATACTATAATAGTTGTTTTAATTTGTATTTTATAATTAGTAGTGAGGCTGATTTTTCCCCCACATGTTGGTTTACTATTTTCATTTCTTCTAGTGTAAACTATCTTTCCCTTTGACAGGCACTCTGGTGATTAAGAATGTGCCTTCAGGAGCCAGAATTTGGGCGTTTTGAATCCTGGCTTTGTTACATCCTAGTTAGTGCCGTGAGCATACTATTTAGCCTGTTTTGTCTTAATTTTCTTATTTATAGAATAAACATTTCAATAATACCTACTTTGTTGAGTTGCATTATGGATTAAATGACTTAATACATTTAAAGTATTTAGAACACCTTCTGGCATGGATTTTGCCATTTGTCCATGTAGAGATTTTTTTTAATAAACTATATATTCTAGATATTAAAGTTTTAAATTACATACTTACAAAAAGATACCTTGGTGTTGTTTTGTTTTGTTTTCCATTTAATTTATGTTGCAAGTAAGTTCAACATTTTTATATTATTCTACTTTACTTTTTTATTTGCTTTGATTTTCTTAGTAGTTAAAAGGGTATCCACTGGGGTGCCTGCATGGTTTAGTCGGCTAAGCATCCAGCTCTTGATCTCAGCTCAGGTCTTGATCTCAAGGTCCTGAGTTCAAGCTTCCTGCTGAGCTCCACACTGTATCCACCAAAAAAGCAAGGTGTAGAACATTGGGTATACAAGGTTCCCAATTGTAGTTTTTAGTTTGTCTTCTAGAAGTATAAAGGCTCCGCATAGAACATTTAATATTGTAAACCGGTAACAGTGTGGTTGCTACTAGGAAGGGGTCTGGGGCTCTGCAACAAAAGAGATCCTTTAAAATGTACACCTTTTGTACTTTTAAATTATTTTAACCCTGTGTCTGTACTTTTTCATTAAAGAAAAAAAAACATGGTTGATTAAACAAATAAAAGGGTCTCTCCTCTGAGGTATGTTTAAAAAGCATCTACTTCATACCTCTGTGTGAACTAGGAATATTAGGAAATACAGAAGAATGAAGACATAAACCCTGTTTTTTTTTTAATTTAATTTAATTTTGTTATGTTATGTTAGTCACCAATACATCATTAGTTTTTTGATGTAGTGATCCACATTCTTTAAGAGTTTGTTTACATTTGTAGCCCAACTATTTGCATTCAAAATTGGAGGTGGCTAATAAAAATACATAATAATAAAATATAAAAATGAAAAAAGAGGCATGAGCTTGAGCTTTCTGTCAGGGCTGCCCTCTGCACAACTTCTAGGAGCACCAGTCTCAGAATTAGTGTGAATTCCACTTGTTGGAGCACAATCCGGGAAGTTCTTGGCACTAAAGTAAAAAGAAATACAATTGGTTTCCAGTGCCCTGCTGTCTGGGAAGAAAAAACATGCTTTTTCTTCCAGAGAGACAAAGGTTTCCTTGTTTGGTGATTGAAAGAAGTGTCTTAGTTGGGTTTTATGTGGAGATAACTCAGTATACAGTGAACAGAATGTACTTGATAATAATAGTATCAAGGAAGAATATTGATTATAAGAGTAACAATTGTAGTGTCTCTCAAAGTAAACCTCAAGAACTTGCTTCCAAAGTACAGCTCACTACAATCAGCTTTACTAGGGAGGAACCAAAATAGTGTACATATACAGTTCTCTGCTATAGTAACAAGATTATAATCCAATTATGTTACCAAAAGATATATAAAGCAACAAGAAAACAGTTAAGACCATATATAAGCAAACTTACTATTTTATTTTATTTTATTTTTAAAGATTTTATTCATTTATTTGAGAGAGAATGAGATAGAGAGAGCATGAGAGGGGGGAGGGCCAGCGGGAGAAGCAGACTCCCTGAGCCGAAGGCAGACGCTTAACCAACTGAGCCACCCAGGCGCCCTGTTTTATTTTAAACACTATACATTAATTTCATTAAAATTTTATCATGGATTGAAGTTCAGAAAAAGTCAGGAAGAGGATCTTAATAACATTTTAGCAGGAATGCTTTGCTATTAAAAAATTTTTTAAGATTGGGCCGCCTGGGTGGCTCAGTCGTTAAGCGTCTGCCTTCAGCTCAGGTCGTGATCCCAGGGTCCTGGGATCGAGCCCCGCATCGGGCTCCCTGCTCGGCGGGAAGCCTGCTTCTCCCTCTGCCACTCCCCCTGCTTGTGTTCCCTCTCTCGCTGTGTCTCTCTCTTCAAATAAATAAATAAAATCTTAAAAAAAAAATTTTTTTAAGATTATTTATTTGAGGGAGAGAGAGCACAGGCGGGCAGGGGGCAGAGGGAGAGGAAGAAGCAGACTCCTCACTGAGCAGGGAGCCCTACATGGGGGGCTCGATCCCAGGACCCCGAGATCATGACCTGAGCCGAAAGCAAACACTCAACTAACTGAGCCACCCAGGCGCCCCTCCTATTAAAATTTCTTAGTTGATAAATAATAGTACTATTCTTTGTATGGCCTCATACAGAAAGTAGTTATAAAAACATTTTATTTTTCAGAAATATACACAAAGCAATGGACGAAGGCCTTTTGGCATTTCTGCCTTAATTGTAGGTTTTGATGACGATGGTATCCCAAGATTATATCAGACTGATCCCTCTGGTACTTACCACGCTTGGAAGGTAAGTCTTGAATTTGTTAATATATTTTAGAAGTTGAATACATGTATTCACAGTAAATGTTTTATCACTTTCAGGGACATGACAAAAATTATGTTGCATTAAAGTATTGATGGTGGTACAACCTTTATGTAACCATTTAGCTAGTCAGTAACTATGATGACTTTTGATGGATAGAAAAACACTTTGTTTTTTTTAAGATTTTATTTATTTATTAGACAGAGAGAGAGAGAACACAAGCAGGGGGAGCAGCAGACAGAGGGAGAGGCAGGCTCCCTGAGGAGCAGAGAGCCCGATGCGGGACTCAATTCCAGGACGCTGGGTTCATGGCCTGAGCTGAAGGCAGATGCTTAACCGACTGAGCCACCCAGGCACCCCAACACTTGGGTTTATTAATCAAAGGGTCTTTTCCTTACTTTGAAAAGTTGTGACAAACCTAAGTATATATAAGTGGCCAAATAAGAGATATATCCAATTCCTATTCATCATTCATTCTTCCAAATAAGTACTGCATCATACAGATACTTGCTTTGAGTAGAAATAGTCTTTGCTTTTATTTTATTTATTTATTTTTTTAAGATTTTATTTATTTATTTGAGAGAGAGAATGAGAGACAGAGAGCACGAGAGGGAAGAGGGCAGAGGGAGAAGCAGACCCCCTGCTGAGCAGGGAGCCCGATGCGGGACTCCATCCCGGGACTCCAGAATCATGACCTGAGCCGAAGGCAGTCGCTTAACCAACTGAGCCACCCAGGCACCCTGCTTAGTCTTTTTTTTTAATTTATTTATTTGTTTGTTTGTTTGTTTGTTTGTTTATTATTTAAAAGATTTTATTTATTTATTTGACAGAGAAAGAGCACAAGTAGGCAGAGTGGCAGGCAGAGGGAGAGGGAGAATCAGGCTCTCTGCTGAGCAGGGAGCCCGATGCGGGACTCCATCCCGGGACTCCAGAATCATGACCTGAGCCAAAGGCAGTCGCTTAACCAACTGAGCCACCCAGGCGCCCTAGTCTTTGCTTTTAATATAGAATTAAATGAGCATTTAAACCCCATAGTGAAATAACGCATTCTCTATTCTAAGAGAGTTGGAGTACCCCAAACTATGACTCTCTATTTATATGGCAGTACATTACAATTGTCTCTACATAATTCCTGAAATATAGTTTGTTTTCTGGGTAAGTTGTTATTCTTCTTTCATTACCCCAATACTTTGTTTAATGGTACATTCAAATCTAATACAAAAGTCTAGGGTCTAGGGAAACTAGTAGCAATTTCCAGAAACAAATTTTTGTATATTTTAATATATAAAAATAGAAGTACATTATAGAATCTAAATAATTTTTACTTTATTAGAAGTGTAAAGGGGTGCCTGGGCGGCTCAATCTCTTAAGCCTCTGCCTTTGGCTCAGGTCATGATCCCAGAGTCCTGGGATAGAGCCCTGCATCGAGTTCCCTGCTCAGTGGAGAGCCTGCTTCTTCTTCTCCCTCTGCCCCTCCCCCTCACTCGTTTTCTCTCTCTCTCTCTCTCAAATGTATAAATAAAATCTTAAAAAAAAGTTTAAATACCTAGGGTTTAAATAATTTCATGAAGTGTTTATTTTACTGTTATTAAAAGCCAAATAAATTAATGGGAAATATCACCTTGGTCTTTATGCCTATTTTAACTAAAGGAATTGATTTGAGCTGACCACACTCATACTGTTTTATAAACCAATTAACCAGGCTGGTAAAACAGTGGATTATATTCTTGCCATCAAGACCTGGATACTCTGTTAGCTGTACATCTTCTTTTAAGCTAACTAGACAAACTAATTGGTAATCAGAAACTATGAATTTACCTACTGCAAGTACCAGACTTTTTTGTGCCAATTTAAGATATCTTTTACATGTCATAGATCTCTTATGCCTCCCAAATCTATACCTCACACAAAACAAGTTACTACCCTCAGTCTTTCTCTAAATATTTTAAAGTGTGCCATCTTCGGGGCGCCTGGGTGGCTCAGTCGTTGAGCATCTGCCTTCGGCTCAGGTCATGATCCCAGGGTCCTGGGATCGGACCCCGCATCGGGCTCCCTGCTCAGCGGGAAGCCTGCTTCTCCCTTTCCCACTCCTGGTGCTTCTGTTCCCTCTCTCGCTGTGTCTCTCTCTGTCAAATAAATAAATAAAATCTTTAAAAAAAAATAAAATAAAATAAAGTGTGCCAGCTTCTGTTTGTATTAATCATTACATCATTATACTTCATTTCAGTATCATAACATAGCAATTTCCAAGTTTACATAATTTTCCATTTTAATTTGGTCGCTCTCTAGGGTCATACAGAGAAGCATTTTTATTTTATTGTAAAGTCAACTAGTTAGGAAAATTATGGAATTTTTTTTTATTTTTTTAATTTTTATTTATTATTTATTTGCGAGAGAGAGAGCATAAGCAGGGGGAGCCACAGACAGAGAGGGAGAAGCAGACTCCTCGCTGAACAGGGAGCCCAACATGGGGCTCAAACCTAGGGTTCTGAGATCATGACCTGAGCTGAAGGCAGACACTTACCCGACTGAGTCCCCCAGCCACCCCAAAATTAGGGAATTTTGACATTGTTGGGAATTTGTTTATCATCTAGGTCTGAAACTATGCATTGCAGTGGTGTCTGAAGGCCATATATCATCATTTAACTGATTTCACATATTGTACTTTCTTGTAAGATTTTGGTTGAAATCAAATGCAGCTTTAAAAAATATATATAACAAAAGACATTTGAAAACTTTTTTATTTTACACATTTGGTAAGTGAGACTCAGGAGTTAAGTGATTTTTTTTTTTAAGTTCACACCACTAGTTAATAACAAAACTGTCATTAGAACTCAGGGTCTTCTGCTTTATTAGTACAGTGTTCCTTCCATTACATCATGCTTAGGCCAAGTGGTTCTCTATGTGTGTTACATAAATTCTGATATCTAGTCTTGAAAAATAGAATAAAATCTTCTGGTTTAATTTCTGTTTTGGGGAGACTATATATAGCACTTTAGCCATGAGATAAGGTCTTTGGTTTTTCTTTCATTTCTATGTTTTGTTTTTTATTCTGACCTACTATACCAGTAGCCTGATAAAGTGATACAATAGGCTATTGAGGACACAGCTCTGGTACCATGTTGTGACAACACTTTGCAGTGCTAGGATGTAGTTTTACATAGTGCAGATAAAGGACATGTGAAATGGGCAGGAGAAATAGAAAATTCAAAATATAAACTGGCCACATGACCTGTAGCAGAAATGAGAACAGAAATCGCTGATACCAGCACTTTGGTTTGTTGGGGTTATCTGGCACTTAACACAAACTTTTTTTTTTTTTTTTAAGATTATGGTCCATTAATGACCCTGCCTTAATGGATTATAGAGCCTTCCATTAGCTTTTTTCACTTTACATGAGAATATTATGAGAGTTCTAGACATCTCCTCCCTGGTCCCATTGTATAATAGTAACTTTATTTCCCTTGATAATCGGGATAAATCATACCATCCTCACAGTAACCCATTATTTGCCTGTTGGTTCAAAGGCATGAGGTGTCCAAAATTGCCAACTGGCAGTCTCAGCTTCTAGTTCAGTGAAATTGTTATATCCCCTAGTAGAACACTGCCTCTTCTCCCTTCCCCATTACTCTGCCAACTTGGGAATTAGGACCTTTAAACTAATACAATCCAAGAAGCAAAAATTTTATTAGTGGCCCAT